AACACCTAAAGCTTGTTCCCCTTTGCATCCTTCACTCTTCCCTGTTCCCTCTGCTTGGACTTCTCTTTCCTCATATCTTCACATCATTTTCTCTCTATTCATTCAGGTCTCTTTTCAAATGTCACCTCCTCAGAGAAACCTGAGCACTCAATCAAAAAGCTCCCACCTTTAATCATGTATTATTACATTATGCTTTTTTTTCTTCACCATCTAAAATCATAAACTCTGTTTAATTATTTGCCTACTTATTGACTATCTTCCCTACTGTAAGCTCTATGGAAGTAGGAACCTGACCTGTTTTCTGCACTACTGTATCTCCAGCAGCTAGAACAACTTCTTGACACAGAGTGAGTGTTTAATAGTTTTGAATGAATTCTTAAATAAATGAATAAACAAACAAAAGCTATGATAGCTCTATGTACAGGTTTTTTTGGTCCACAAAGATGGTACCTAAACTACACTTGCAATTAAAATGGGGAATGATCAAAGGAGATTTCCTAGAGTCAGGTAAAATACGAACTGAGTTTTAAAGGACAAGTAGGGAAGAATCCTAGGTAAAGGAACCAGTAAGAGATGTAAAGAGCAGAGGACAAGAGAGAATACAGCTTGAATACTTAGGAAATACAGGTAATCTGGGATGATTCCACAATACGGTGAACAAGAGAAAAATGGCTTCTTTGGTGTCAGGAGTTGAGTATAGTTTCTGATGTCATATAAATGATTTAACCCCCAAAGGTACTAAAAACACCCTCTGCCTACATGCCCCCAAATATGGTCAAAATAATCTAAACTTTCTTTTCAGTGGAGTTTAAAAACATTTTTTGAGGGAGTTCTCTTTCTCAAAATTCTCTATGTATGTCCTGTCCACCTCCCTGCCATACCTACTCTCCAACTAAGATCTGGCAGAGACCTGGGCCCACTACCTTTCAGGATATCCAACAAGTTCTATAATCATAAGCCAGCCTTCTGATAGGATTAGAGACAGATTCTATATGTTAAGTTCATCTCACATAGCTGTGTTTAGGAATATCCAATAATTACTTTTGTTGCTATATATGTCTTAGCTGACATTTTAAGTAGTAGATCCCCTCAATACCTTTCCACAATAAACCAATCGCAAAAGACACAATTTCATACATGTATATTTTCACAGCTCCTACAATTGTCCGTTTAGGAGTCACATGTCCTCTGTATTTGGAAGGAGAAAGACTACACGTTGCTTTGCAGCAGGTAAAATGGTCCAAACAAAAAACCACATCCATACCCCCAAGGAGTTTGTAATCCAAAAGCAAGAGTGGGCATGCTATGGAACACTGCAGAACAATACCCACACAATACAGGCAGATGGAGTGGCATATGGCCACCACAGCTGGAATCCTTTGTAAATGATTCCCAAACCATTGCTGGTCTTTGAACACTTCCCCAGTTCAAAGTACGAACACCATCTATTATCAGCAAACTCTGAAAAGCCAAATGAGACATTTAAAAGTAGCCTTGAGTTAAGGTCATATTCCTAAAGTGTGCAGTCCTGAGAAATAAAGCTTTCTGATGAGAAGTAAACTGCTGCCCACTCTCAGTTGTAACACATTCTATATCCTTGTCAGAGACAAACAGAATTCCTATTGACTTTTCCTGACAAGATACTACTAATCAACACTTAAATAAAGATTTTAGATAAATGTCTTTTAAGGTCAAATAGGAAAGAGTTCAGGAATTACTCACTTGGCTTATGCTCATTAACTATTAAAACCCTAGTCCTGTTAGTGCCTACATTGCTGCTAACATCTGGAAACAATAGATAGATATGTAACTAGGATGTGATGGAAAGATCATTCAAAGTAGAGTCAGATCAGTGTTTGATTCCCAGAAAGTCACCTCATCTTTCTAAGCTCTACTCTTTCTAACTGCAAAATGGAAGTAATTAATTGTATCACTTCATTAGGTGGTTTAAAAATTAAATGAAATACTATATGTTGTCATTCCCTAAACTAGAAACTAGTGTATAAATGTCAGAGCTTATTATGTGACATTTATTGTGTTCTCCTCAATTCCCATGGAAGCTTTTAATGACCTTACAAGCATTTTTATGTTACTTTTTTTTAAATCAATTTTACTTTTTTGAAGAGTTTTAGATTTACAGAAAAATTGAGAAGCTAGGATAGAGTTCCCATATATCCTACACCCAGTTTCTTCTACTATTGACATAATAGTATGGTATATTTTACAATTAATGAACCAATATTGATACACCATTCTTAACTAAAGTCCAGAGTTACTCAGATTTCCTTCATTTTTCCTAATGTCCTTTTTCTTTTCTAAGATACCATGCAAAATACCACATTACATTTAGTTGACATGTTTTCTTAGGCTACTCATGATTGTGACATGTTCCCAGATTTCCCTTGTTTTTAATGACCTGGACAGTTTGGGAGAATAGGGCTCAGGTATTTTGTTGGATGCCTCTTTATTACAATTTATCTGATATTTTTCTTATGATTAGGTTGCAGTTACAGATTTCGGGGAGGATAACCACAGAGGTAAATTGCCATCTACATCATATCACATCAAGGGTATATACTATCAGTATGATTTATGACATTGATGTTGACCTTGATCACCTGGCTGAAATAGGGTCTGTCAAGTTTCTCCACCATAAAGTTACACCTTATCCCTTTTCTGGACTATGTTCTTTGGAGGAAGTCACAATGTGCAGCTCACACTTAAGGAATGGGGAAACTTCTCTGTTTTATTTTTACCAAATAAAAGCAGCATTTCCATGGGACAGAGCTTGGCCACTTACAGTAGAGAATGTTGGGGCCAAAATATATTTCCAAAGAGCTGGTATGAGCTCTCTGTTTTTTAGAAGAAAAACTACAGTAAAAGTAATTTTCTATTCCTTTCCTTAAAAATCAAGTCAGTTCCCATTTTTCCTTCGAGACAATTTTACCTTAAAGAAAAAATATTGTTAGATTTGACATTGAAAGCTTGATGGGGGCTGTACTCTTCATATAGTGCTGTTTTTTCCTTCCTTATTCTACTATCTTATTTGCACCTTCTTTACAAGGAGAGCTCGTGCATTCATTTTTTCTTTTAGATTTTCCAACCATGGTACTTCAATATGTTGCCTGTATAATTTTCTGAGATAAAATTTAAGATCCAAGCTTCTCTCTGAGGGAACATTACCTTTGAAGTTCTGGGAAGCATCAGAATCAAAGTGAAATCTACAATTTACTTCCTTACAACAAATTCTGGGAAGATAAAACTAACAAGATACAAAAGGAAAAATCTGCTTCAGACTGATAATAAAGACACTGTAATGAGGAGAAATAAAGAAAACATGAGAAAATCATGAGTAAAAGTCAGTTGGTTTACAATTGTACTTCCCTAAACTCAGCAATGTGGGCCAGGCAAAGTATCTAAATCTCAAACTTCTGATTCATTCTTTCCTGAGCAAACTTTATTTCTCAAATACTAGTCTCTGTGGCAGAGAGACATATACAAATACACAAAGTGAAATCTAACACAAGGAATTTAGATGGATAAAATTAAGTCATTAATATTTATTTTAATTTTTTAATGTTTATTTTTGAAAGAGAGAGAGAGACAGTGTGAGCAGGGGAGGGGCAGAGAGAGACACACAGAATCTGAAGCAGGCTCCAGGCTCTAAGCTGTCAGCACAGAGCCTGACGTAGGGCTCAAGAACCACAAGAGCATGACCTGAGCCAAAGTCGGACATTCAACTGAGCCAACCAGGCACCCCAATTAATATTTGTTTTGAAAACAAGCTGTGTTTTTGAAACAAACTGTATAGAGTTAAGTAACATTTTTCTGATGACAGTCATGTGGATATACAATTCTTGCCATCTTCCCTATTAAAAATATGCATATGTATAGAAAAGAAATTTAGCATTTGGCTAACATGCCTATTAAGGCAATTTCTCTTTTAACAAAAAGGTAACAAAGATTAAAGCTTTCCTTGGTTACAGACAATACAGTATAAAGGAAAGAAAACTAGTTTTGGAACTAGAAAGACCTGATATCAAATTCTAACTTCACCACTTACTAACAATATGACCTCTTATGAATTAACTTCCCTGAATCTCAGTTTCCTCATCTATAAAAGACCCATTAGGCCTACCTTGTAAGTTCTTAAGACAATTCCATATAATGTAGGTTAGATGCATAGCAAAAAGCGTAATTAACACATACCAGGCTCTAAATTAGAAAGAGAGAAAGAAGATACTATTCTGATCCCGACAGAGTTTATAATCTAGTATAAGAAATGGAGATTAATCAAGGAATAACAACAGAAAAGTAAAATTATCAAAACAATACATTCTACAAAATAACTTAGAAAAGGTAGGCTTCCCTAAGAAAGCAATGTTTGAGCTAAAAGAAATCACTGAAAGAACTGAAGAAAAAGTAGGCATTAACTAAATCAAACCCTGAGAAAGAGCAATGGAGACAAAGGAGACAGGATGTGCAAAATTCCCATTGTGAAGCACACGATGGTGCTTTCATGGGAGTGAAAGGGTGTAGACTCCTGGGACAGTACTTAAGAGAGTGGGCAGGAGCCAGGACAAGCAGAGCCTTATAGACCATCTTAAGGACTTTGGTCCTTGCCCTATGAATAATGAGAAACCTTTGAAAAGTGTTGAGCAGGGGCGCCAGCAGATCAAGGGCATAATCACACTTTTAGGAAGGCACCAGGCAGCTGTGGGAAGAGACTGGAGAGGAAGGAAAAAAGGACAGGAGGACCTGAGGAGGCCAAGGCAGGAAGTGAGCAACAGCTGACAGAGGTCCCAGAAGAGTAAATATAGGCATGGAGCCATTACCAAGTGATAGAGCTAGAATTGGCAGGTCCATCTTCCTCCAAAGTTTGTGTTTTCTAACCTTCTATGTTGTAATAAAATACTAAATACCCGCAATGAATGAACATAGAAAGCAGGATGCTTGTGGTATATCCTGTTGTGTAAAAGAATTTTCCTAGCGTCCAGCATTTAGATTTATTTCCAGTAACATAATTAAATGGAGAAAATGGAATGCACAGGATAGCAGATTTCATAAACAACTAAGGAACTAAATACATGAAGGAGAGATAGGCAGAGTGGTGGAAAGGGCACTAGTTGGGAAACTAGATTCCCAACTTCTAGTCCCAGTTCTGTGACGTCTCTTTTTGACAAACAAGTTGTTTCTCCTCTTCAAACCAACCTCTTCTGCAATAGGACCAAGTGGAACTAGCTGATCTCTAGGGTCCTTTTCAGGGCAAATGTTTTCTCACCATGGAAGATACATCTATGAAAAATAAAAATAGTTTAGTACAGTGGTGTAGTATGCAGGTAAGTGCTTACTATGTCCCAGGCATTCTTCTAAGTATTATATATAAACTGCCTTAATCTTCCCAACAAATCTTGTAGGTAGGAACTATTATTATTACCACCAACTTCATTTGGTAGTTGAGAAAACACAGGCACAGAGATGTTAAGTTACTTGCTTCAGTTCTCACGATTATTAAGAAGCAGAGACAAGATTTGAATATAGCCTGAGTATGTGACATACACACCCTCTTAAGGATGCCGGGGTTCAAATTCTGGCTCTGCTATTCTCTAGCAATGTGAGTCTTTCTGTGACTCAGTTTTCTCAACTATAAAACTAAAATGGAAATAATCATAGGTTTTACCTAAAAGTGCTTTTTGTGTGTGTGAGGATTGAGGATACACATATAAAGTGATTAAAAGAATATTACTTAATGCACTATATGTTAAATAACTAGACTATAAATAAAAATTTTAAAAATAAATGTAAGACTTGAAACCATAAAATTCTTATGAGAAAACATAAGTGGTAAGCTCCTTGACATTGGTCATAATGATATTTTTTGGAATCTGACTCCAATGCAAGGGAAACAAAAGCAAAAATAAATGGGACTAAAAAAAAGAAGAACATTATCTAGGACTTAGTAAGTATTCAGTAAATGTTAGGTATTATTATTTCTTGGTGTTATTATTACTTGGTGTCCTGAGGAAGAATGGACACATACATTTTGGGAAACACTTAGTGGCAAAAATGACTCATTCTCATCCCAAGCGTTCCTAGTGTTTCCAAAGGCAAGAGGCAAACTTTAAAAGCTGTGAGACCCTACAGAGGAGAGCTATTGACTATTTTGTGTGGAGAATTTCTCCCCATATGTTTATTTTTAATTTATGCCCTCACTTAACACTTGAAATGTTTAAAAACATGTGGTGACAGTAAATAAAATAACCTATGTACAAAATAAAACATAGCTCCTATACCTAATCTGATTCAAATTAGGTTTGGAACTCCTTAGGGTCATAAATCAATGTATTTGGTCATAATCAGCATTTAAAAGAAATGAAATAGGATGGTGTAGGATTGGTAGCAAACATCAGAGTGTGTTACAATTGCTAAAGGGAAGTATTGTTTCATACAATGAAAGAGGGTAGAACATAAATTATATTTACTTTGCACAGTTAAAAAGTTTCAATAACACTGAGTTAGATTATTTATTCATTCAACAAACATTTACTATGTGTAATTTGTACACATAAGCATTCTGCCAAGAGCTAGGTTCACAAGATATGATTAACAGAGTCCCAGCTTCAAGAAGTTCAAAGTGAAATGAAAAAAAGAGACATTAAGCAAAATCAAACTAAAGTTTCTGGGACCTAGGCCTTCTTCTCTAGGAGAAGAGTGATGTTGAGGAGGGAAGGAATGTTTGGAATTACTAGGGTATCATGGGAACCACATGGCTGGAGGAGGGTACTTATTCTGTCAAGGTCAGTTGTAGCTTGGTAAGTGTTCTTTGATTTTAGATTTACCTTGATTAAAAAATTGGAACATTTACACAGCTAAGGAACCAATAAACTGTTCTTGACATAAATCACAATTTATGTAGCTGATTTAATGTGTTTTCTTGCTTTTGGACAGGTTCTTTTCTTCTGGAACACTGAGAGGGATATAGGGTGGCACAGAAGACTACTAGATCCCTATCTACTCCTTCTCTTTTAGATCCTACCATTAAAATGGGTTAAAAATAGAAGCTGTTGAATTGTTGGAACTGGAGATAGTTAAAACCCCACCGTAATTATTGTGGGAGCCCCACAGATTGTTAATGAGGTTGTTTGAATTAGCACCTGCTCCTGGAAGGGTAGAATGTGAGCCCATTGGCAGCCAGGCCCCCTGAGTCAGTGAGAGGAAAATGGGAGTGGAATAAGGAATAAGGAGTCTGTGTACTGCCTTATAGATGTTTTCTGAAAGCCCGTAAATCAGTATTTTATTTTCTGTGAATTTGTTGCATGCACTATGTGCAAGTGATTGGGCTAGATGGCAAAGGAACACAGCCCTGGCCCACAAAGAACTCAAACAGAGAGGGGCACCTGGGTGGCTCAGTTGGCTAAGCATCTGACTTCAGCTCAGGTCATGATCTCACAGTTCATGGGTTCAAGCCCCACATTGCGTTCTGTGCTGGCAGCTCAGAGCCTGGAGCCTGTTTCAAATTTTGTGTCTCCCTCTTTCTCTGCCCTTCCCCCGCTCATGTTCTGTCTCTGTCTCAAAAATAAATAAACTATGAAAAATTAAAAAAAAAAAAAGAATTCAAACAGAGAGACAAGACATTTACACAAGGGACAAAAATCGTGATCCCACCACTCTCTAGCTATGTGACTCTGGGCAGAGTCACCTACCTTTCAGTGCTTCTGTTTCTTATGTGCAAAATCAGGATGACTGGGTATTTATAAGGTGTAAAAGATAGCCATGAATGAAATGGACAGCATATATTGAGTGAATAGTAGGTACTCAATAATTGAGTTGACTGCAAATCAAAGTGCCTGTAAAGAAATAACACCAAAATGCTTTGGAACTTCAAAGGAGGAAAGTGTCATTTCATGAAAAACTTAGAGATGACATCTGTGATAAGCATTATAGGATTTGTCTGATGTTAAAAGCAGGCAATTCAGTAGGGGGTAAATATTCCTAGGGAGGAATGGCATAAGCAAAGGCATGGAGGCAGGAAAAACTGGGAACTTTCAACTAGTAGTCATGTTTTTGATGGGAATTGTAGTTATACAGATGAATAAGTCAGTCTCCAACCTCAAAAAGCCCATAGTCTAGAAGGGAGACAGATACAGGAACTGAAACTGACAAAGCAGAGTGACACCAGCTATGACAGAGGACTGCACAGGGGCTGTGGGATACCAACAGAGGCCCACTTGGACCAGCCTGGGCTAGGAGAGAAAATATGGCAGAATTCTAGAACTTAGGGGTGGAGCCATTTAATGCCATGATGAAGCCTGAGTCAACAGTGACTGGGTGGCTGAAATGAAGGGAAAATGAGGCATTAGAGATGAGGAGTTGAACGATTAGTGGGATTAAGTGATCAAAAAGATTATTATTGTCTGTTGATGACCCAGAGGGCAGAGATAGGAGGAAGACTATGTGGAAGAAGTCAGTGAACCAGGTGTTAACGTCACCCAGAAAGGTAGGAATATGTCCTGAAGGGCAGTAGATGGTTTTGGTATTTGAAATATTCTAGCTACCTTCCATGGAGCACCTGCTTTATGCCAGGCACTTAGATTCATTATAGTATCTCTAACTGTGTTGATTAGAATATTGGTTGGTTTGCTATAACAGAAAGGTCCAAAATAAGTAGCTTAAAAATAAGACAAGAGTTTGTTCCCCTGTCATGTAAAAGTCTGGCTATTGTAGTCCACGGCTGCTATGACAATATAAATAATCATCAAGATTCCAGAATCTTTTTGTTGTGTTGTCCTACCAACTCATATCTCTACTCCCATAATGACATCTGCATTCCTATCAGCTAGAAAGAAGGGACAGTGGGGCCTAGAGTCACTAAGAGTGACCAAGATTCAAGGGGGAGGAGGATTAGATTCCCCTTTGGTCACACTGCAGAAGAACAGGTGGGTTGGGAGACATTGTTGTAGATACATTTGAAAAATACAAACTGCCACACATTATAATAAATTACCTTTAACAGAATACTGCTCGATCTAATGAATGTGAGTAACCTGCAGAACAAATGGCCATGAATAAAGTGGATTCCCTTTACTTATATCATTCATTTTAATCCATAGAATAACCCTTTAAGGTAGATTAAATCATACCCTCATTTTATAGATAAGGAAAATAGGTAATTTTCCAAGATCCCCAAGACTAAGATGGTTAGTTGTGGAGCTGGGATTTGCCTCCCAAGCTTGTGATTCTTCCTGGCATGACACAGCCTCTCATGAAGCCTGACATCCAGTGAAAATATGATAGAAAAGAAAGATTTCTTTACTATCACAAAGACTCAATAAATATTGGTCAAACTGAATGGAATTAAATCAAACTCCTAGAGGAGAATCTTAAAAACAAAATTTGAAAGACGTACATAGAACTAAAGTTAGCTTTGAAAGAAATACATTAACCAGTGAATGAAACAAAATATGTGAACACAATTTCTTTATTTATTGATATCCTCACAACAAATAATTTTTTTAAATACCTTATTTTTTAATTTTAATTTTTTTAGAGAGAGAAAGTGTAATGGGCAGGGGCAGGGGCAGAGGGAGAGGGAGAAAGAGAGAATCTTAAGCAGGCTCCATGCACAGCCCAACGTGGGGCTTGATCCCACAACCCTGGGATTATGACCTGAGCTGAAATCAAGTATCAGCCATGTAAGCAACTGAGCCACTCAGACACTCCACAAACATTTACTTTTTAAAAGTACCTATTCCAGGGGTTTCTAGGTGGCTCAGTCAGTTAAGGGTTTGACTTTGGCTCAGGTCATGACCTCACAGTTTGTAAGTTCAAGCCCTGCAATGGGCTCTGTGCTGATAGTGCAAAGCCTGTAGCCTGTTTCGGATTCTGTGTCTCACTCTCTCTATCTGCCCTCCCTCCCTTGCTCACTCTCTCTCTCTCTTTCTCTTTCTCTCTCCCCCCTCAAAAATAAATAATTACAAATAAATGAATGAACAAATGAATGAATGAATGAATGAATAAATAAATAAATAAATGAATAGAAGTACCTATTCCAATGGGGCACCCGGAAGCCTCAGTCGGTTAAGGTGCCAACTCGATTTCAGCTCAGGTCATATCTCACCATTGTGAGATGGAGCCCTGAGTGTGGTTCTGCAAGGAGTGTGGAAGCTGCTTGGGATTCTGTCCTTCTCTCTCCCTCTGCCCCTCCCTCACTTGCCCATGCATTCACACTGTGCTCTCTCTCTCTCTCAAAAAAATAAATACATAAATAAAATTTAAAAATTTAAGAAAAGTATTATTCCTTGCTTCATTCTAAAAGGATTCAAGGCATAGGCATTAGACTGGCAATGTCAATAAATAAAATAATAGAGATTCCAGTTAATCACATCAGCACACTGGAATTATCCAGGAAATGGTAGTCATTGCCGTTGGTGAGAGCAATGCATGGAAAGTCAAGAGAACTGGGCTCTGCTTCTCACCAATTGTGTGAACTTAGGCACATCACTGAGCTTCTCTGGACCTGCCTGCCTTCCTTGCCTATAAAATGAGGAGGAAGATATCAATGATCTCTAAGGTCCTTTGCAACAATAAAACCTATATGAAAACTGAGTAATCTTTCCTGCATGTCATCATTGGCCAAGCCATTTTCTACTACTAAGCAATTAACTATCTCATTTATTAAGTGCAAACTGCAACAGCTAAGAACAACTAAGAATAGTTAAAATTGTTACATCAAAGGTTCTAATATAATGTTTCTGAACATATGCTCATGGGCTTATTTGAAAATAGAGCTTATTCATTGTTTCGAGTGAAATTTCATGTGATCAAACATCAGAGAATGCACAAATTCTGTTATATCCACAATAATAACATAACAATGAAGCCTTAGTCTGACAATGGAATATACCGTTTATTTCACAGCTATGTAGAGCAGGTTTTTTTAAAAAGACACCTCACCTGCTTCAAGCTTCAATGTTTAGTCTTTCACCTTCTAAATCCTACTTGTTCTTCAAAACTCAATTTTAGAATAATTTATTTTCCATGAATCTTCCCAGGTAACCCTCTTACCTCATCCCCTTCCCCCCAGGCTGTTTTGGATGCCCCTACTGCACTCTCAAGGTCCCTGATACTCCTGTTTTAGCACTTGTTAACTGTGTTACATTGTATTATCACGGTCTGTCATTTCCTTGTCTACTGTCCCCTTAGGCTGTGATCCTCTTGAGGACAGAAGACAACTCCACTGCCAGTGGTTAGCAGGAGGCCTAGATCTGCTGAGTGCTCAGATGTTGATGATGAAAATAATAGATGCATTTTTAATCTCATATCAAATTTCCAAATCCATCAAATATTATCCATACCTTCACACATGCCTATTCTTCTGTGGGTGAGCATAGCTGGAGCCTTTTTGAATGTGTCCCAGGTAGAGGAGAAAGAGGGGAAAAGAAGCAACTTCTATTAATGGTTACTGCACACATTTTTTCCATTAACATTAAAAATAATCTTCATAAAATCTATAAGGTAAGTTTATCTCTACTTATTATCTCCATTATATTTCAAAGAGATAAAAGAATTCGCCACAGATCACAGAGCTTCTGAAAGACAGAGGTGGGGTTAACCTGACTCCATCTAATTTCACATTGCCTCTCCAGGAGAAGAGTGGGGTGGTGCTGGAGTTGGGTATATAGGAGTGGGGTATCATGTTCTGAAACCTCTCCTGTGTGTTAAAAGTAATCTATCCCACAAGTTTGTTCTTACTACCCTGAATTTTAGCCCTTTACATAAAGGTTAAGCAGCAAATGCTCTCCTACCATAACTAATGCCTGTGTTCCTCCCCAGTCATTATTTGAGCCCTGGAGGTTGTACAGATGCTATTGTTAAGTTGTTCTCATTAAGAGAGAAATAGGGCGGGACAGGGGAGGAGTGTCGCAAATCAAATCCTCAGGTCCAACCAACCAGATAAACAAAGAAACACAGGTGCCCTTATAATTAAGGTTCACAATGAGCTTGTGATGCCTTTGTGTGAAGGTTCCAGACTTTTAAAGAAAAATAACATTGCCCTTTATACAGAATTGTCTTTCAGAGGAAGAAAGTAAGTTTCCATGCTCTTACTAATTGCTTTGTTACATGAAGTTGACTATCGTAGAGACACAATATGACTTGTAATTGTAAAATTATAACAGATTCTATTTATGGTTTGTATTGGGAAGGAATGTAAATTAGCACTATACTTTGGAGAATTTGACATAATTCCAAAACATTTGTTTTAAATAGTTAATACTAAGTTGATAAAATTAAATTTTAATATGTTGCATTTAATGAAGTATGTGTGTGTGTACACACACACACATATATATAGTTTAGCCCAAAAGTATTTTCAGTTGATGAGAAATAGTTTTATTTTCCTGTACTATAATTCTTAATGCTATGATTATTTGTTTTTTTATGAGACTTTTCATAAGTAGTATTACCTTAACATATTTGAGTATAAGATTGAAGATGTATTATTTTTTATTTATGTGTAGAATTTTTCAGTTGTTTTCAAAAGACCTCATAAATCCAGAGAATAGATCAAATCTTCGAATACAATAAACAAAATGTATGACAAAGTGAAGTTCTAAATATGCCAGATTCTTTTCTTTGAAGAATTCACGGATGAACTGATTTTGGAAAAGTTAAAACTGAAAGAATTGATATTTTTTGATATATATAGTGTCTGTGTTTGAATTCTGTTTTGGTAAATACAAGCACATGTAAATGCTACATGAATTTCTTTTAAATGGGGACAGCTTCCTCCTATGAATTCTGACAGGTTGTGCATTTACACAACCTTTTAGAGTTAAATAAAAATATCTTCAGATATCAACATAAGGAATGTACTAAAATCTTTATATCAATGTAAAAAACAACTTATAATTTGTAAAATGTATAATCATTTAAACAACTCTAAGTATACCAGGCACTTTTCTTACTGCTTTCTGTTGACTCTGTAATACTCAGAACAACCCCCATGAAGTTAGATCTAATATTATGCCCATCCTATAGCCAAGAAAACTGAGGAACAAAGAGGTTAAGTAACTGATCCAAGATCACTGTGCTAGTAAGTTGTAGAGCTAGGATCCAAACCAAGACAGGCAGGCTTTACAGCCCATGTTCTTATCCACCTCAGTGAACAGACAAATTAGATTCCCTGGAGAGGTGATGTGAGTAATAACATGATTACAAAGAACAGACTTTGCTATAGGGTTGTGCCTAAATTATTGAAAATGACAATATATATTATTTTATACTGTCATTTTATATATACGTCATTATATACAAAGTATATATATAATGTATGTATATAATACATGTTAGGTTAAGTGCTTTAAGTATATCCTTGCATTTAATCCTCATAACCACACTGTGATGGTGTATTTACCTAATTATGTAAACTAGGGCAAGTTTTTTGAGTCCCCTTAATTTAAGCCACAATTTCCCCACCAGCTGATGTGGGGATGAGATTATATACGAAGTGCTTAGCACAGTGCCTAGCAGAAAGTAAACTCTCTATGAAAGTTAGCTTTTATTATCATTACTGGTTTTAGGCTTAGAAAAAACAAGTAACTTGTTCAAGATGACATATCTTAAAGAGGGCAGAGCTACAACTTGGAAGCTAAGGCTAATTAATACCCTAACTACAGTGGCTAAAGAACATAGTCTTAGCCTTAAGTCTTAGTACAGTTTACTGTGCTAAACTGCACTGAATTTCTTGTCTGCTCACCTTTGCCACAATGGCTTGCTCATTGTATGTACTTCGATAATAATCAGGGATAGTGACTCATTAAAACAAAATTTGTTTTAATTCCAAAATAATAAAAATTTACTACTGAAACAAAAAAAAGAAATACAGGTAGGCAAAAGAAGGAGAACTAAAAATCACTCATGATCCCACCTTCCAAAATAACCACTATTACTCTTTCACATACAGGATCATTCTAAGCATACAATTTTCTGATCAGCTTGTTTCCTTTCCCTTTGAAATATATTGTGAACATCTTTCCACACTGATAAATATTTATCTACTGTATCATTCTTAATACCTGCAGAATATTCCATTGTATGATGAGTCCCACTTGTTGACCATTAAAGACAATTTCCAATCTTTCCACATTCCAAAGAATGCTATAGTAAACAATATAGCATCTTTGAACACATTAATGATTACTTCCTTAAAATAAATTTATAGAAATGGAGCTACCAAGTCAAAGGATACTAGTTATCAGAATTTTGAATTGGTATATACCCCATCTTCTCAGGAACAAAACTCTTTTGTATTATATATCAAATGAGACTGGGGGAAAACAGCTTTTATAACAAACAGGGATTATTCAGTTTTAAGGCTGTGCTAAGAATGAAATTGTTTAAAACTTGGATTAAATGAGATAATCCATGAAAAGTTAATATAAGTGATCAATAACTAATTGCTATTATTATATTGAAATAACATCAAATTTGTTTAATTTGTCACTCCAAGTCCTTATTTTGAAAATGTCTATTTATTTTTGAGATAGAGAGGGCACAAGCTCAAGCCGGGGAAGGGCAAAGAGAGAGGGAGACAGAGGATCTGAAGTGGGCTCTGCAATGACAGCAGTCAGCTGATGCAGGGCTTGAACTCACAAACTGTGAGATCATTTCTTGAGCCCAAATTGAACGCTTAACCGACTGAGCCACCCAGGTGTCCCCCAAGTCTTTTTATTACCTAGGCCTCTTCTTTATTTGAAGGTCTCAATGAGTCAAGTCCTAAAATGAGAAAAAATTGGGGACCCCTGAGCATTATGAAGTAACTCAATAGACCAGGGGGCAGGAGAACTTTTACAATTTTTCCTGCTTCCCTTATGATCTGGGGTAGGTCTTCTCTGGACCTTAGAGCCTCAACCTATAAAGAAGCATTGGATAAGAAGACCTCTTTAATATTTTATTCTAACACTATAATGCTAAGTTTACTTCAACCTGGTAATTCATATTCATACCTGTATTTCTTGTATTTTGAGTCCAGGTAGATTTTGTATAGGCAATAATGGACATTCTCTACAACCCCATGATCTGTGAGTTTCTGAGCTCGGAACATGGAAGTTTTATAAAAATCAAGAGAGTCAAAGAAGCCATTTCCCCCCCCCTTTTTTTTTCACCTACCCATTTTTACTTTTATGTATTTATTTTTTTAATGTTTATTTATTTATTTTGAGAGAGAGAGAGAGAGAGGGAAACTAAACAGGGGAGGGTCAGGGAGAGGGAGAGAATCCCAAGTAGACTCAGCAGCAGAGCCCTATGTGGGGCTGGATCTTGCAATCGGTGAGATCATGACCTGAGCCAAAATCAAGACTCAATTGCTTAACCGACTGAGCCATCCAGGGGTCCCTGATCTACCTATTTTTTATGTTTATTTTATTACTTTTTAAAAAATGTTTATTTATTTATTTTAATGTTTTATTTATTTCTAGGAGAAAGAGAGAGAGACAGCGTGAGCAGGGGAGGGTCAGAGAGAGAGGGAGTCACAGACTGAAACAGGCTCCAGGCTCTGAGCTGGCAGTCAGCACAGAGCCCGACGCGGGGGCTCAAACCCACGAATCGCGAGATCATGACCCAAGCGAAAGTCGGACGCTTAACCGACTAAGCCACCCGGGCGCCCCTAAAAAATGTTTATTTGAGAGAGAGAGAGAGAGAGAGAGAGAGTGAGAGCCAAGGAGGGGCAGAGAGAGAGAGGGAGACACAGAATCCGAAACAGGCTCTAGGCCTGTTAGCACACAGCCTGATGCAGGACTGTTAGCGCACAGCCTGATGCAGGGCTGGAACTCACAAACCGTGAGATCATGCCCTGAACGCAAGTTGGACACTTAACTGACTGAGCCACCCGGGTGCCCCTTATTTCTTATTTTGAGTGACAGGGAGGCACAGAGGCAGGCAGGCTCAGGCTGAGTTGTCAGCACAGAGCTGGAAGCCGGGCTTGTAAATTAATTAACTTTGAGATCATGGCCTGAGCTTAAGTTGGAAGCTCAACTGACCAAGCCACTCAATTGCCCCCCTTTTTAATCATCACACTACCCAGCATAGAATTAACATTGTATGTTATTCAAACCTCTCGCGTGGTTTAGCAGGCCAGACAGTAAACTGAAAGGCTCTCCCAAATCAGGCCAACGTTTTTACCTTAAATTATCGTTAATATATTTATTTTAAATTATAGTGCACAAAAGTTTTGGCCATTTTACTTGGGGTTTAGTGATATCATTCATCGTCTCCATTTCTCACTTCTCTTTGGACATAACTTGGACAGGAGTCAACCGGCTAAACGTGCTAAACAAGGCCTCAGGGACCAACTTAAAGCGCCCACACTGCCTGCGAGAGACAGACCACTTTCCTAGTGTGCCTCCGCACAAAGGGTAAGATTTATCCCAAGGATTCCATAGTGGGCAAGTTTGTAAACTCTCAAGGCTCAACACAGCGTTTTTCCAATAACATTGGTCCAAATGGTGTTGGTAGACATGAACGGCAAAGCTGCTACCTCGTTTAAACTTTAAGAACAGGTAGCAGTATTGGAGGAAATGCAGAAGTTTTATTCATTCACCTTTTCCAGCATAGATTCCAGGCCAAGCGCCAGGACCACAAAGGGAGGCTGCCTCGCAGGGGCCGGTCCTCCGTCTCTCGCGCGGGGCGCCCCCTGGAGGCGACGGTAGGGGTGGAGGCAGCGACAGCGGCGGGGGTGGCGAAGCGGTCGCGCAGCGCTGGGCGGGCGGGCGAGCGAGCGCTGTGCGACTCCGCGGACGTACCCCAGCGCGCCGCGCGCCGCGCCCCGCGCCCCGCGCCAAACGTCGCGCCCAGCCTCCGCCGCCTCCTGCCGGACCGCACCGCCAGGAAGATGCGCCTCAAGAATCAGGTAGCCGCACCTCTGATCAGCCCCGCCCACCCGATGTCACGGGCGCCGGCGGCCACGCGGCCACGTGGCCGCGACTCGGCTGCTCGCGGCGCCCAGTCCGGCCGCCGCGATTCCCAAGGAGGGACTGGGAGACCTTGCAGTTGGGAATCGCGCCGCGCGCCTTTGGCCGGAGGACTCTAGCGACCCTTCCCCCGCCCGTCTGGCGGCTCTGTTCCCGCTCGGCTCCGGGTCACTGCCCGCTGGCCTTCCGAGATTCCCTTGGCCGCTGGGGGGACAACCGAAAGTTGGGTGGGCGCGCGCCTCCTCGCCCGCAACTGCGGACGGGGCCGCGCGGAGAAGCCGCCGCCCTGCGCCACTCCCCTCTGCGCCTTTCGGGAGCTGTCCTCGGGGTGGTTTTGCTGAACTAGCTGGTGGCGCCAAAAAGTCCGGGCGGCTTCGAGCCAGCAGGCCCCCAGGGTGTTGGGCAGGCGGGCGTGGATCCTCTGGAGGCCCCTCTCTCTGTGTTACTCCTGCTGATTTGTTGAAAAGCTTCACTCTCCGATGCTTTCCCCCCATTACTGCCCGTTGTGGACCTGGGCTTGGGATATTTCTGGATGAGATTGAGAGGGCGCTTCTGTTCCACCAAGCACTGCTCTTGTTTAGCGGAGGAAAAAGGAGGCTCAGGTGTTGGGTAGGGGCTATCAGTGTTTTGTGATTGTTGTTTCTCTCTGGGCTGGGGGTTGTCAAACGTTGGGGATTTAGTAAACACACGACCTTAAGTCTTTAGTTTGTGGGAGACGAATTCCTTTCTAAAAGGAAGAGAACCTCCCCTCCCCCAACATATGTTAAGGGATTTAGGTAGACCACTGGGAAACCAAAGGGAAGGGCTTCAAGGAAACAACTTCAGGTTTGGGGGAAAGTGAGTCTTATTGATTCCCAAGGTGTTAGTCGGTATCGCCCAACGGTGGTAATTCTCATAAAATCTTCCTCTTGGGGATTCAAATACTGCTTCTACAGTGCAGTTTGGCAGGAGCCTTGTGGGATCCTGAAAGCCGACCTGTACCCCTTACCTAGCTACTTTATTTTTTTTAATGTTTATTTCTTTGAGAGAGAGAGGGAGAGGGAGAACCAGAGAGGGAAGAAAGCCCACACAGGCTTAGTTCTGTCAGTGCAGAGCCTGAGGTGGGGCTCAGTCCCATGAACCTCGAGATCATGACCTCACCCAAAATCAAGAGTCTCATCAAGATACTCTTGGGACTGAGCCACCTAGGCGCCCCTAGCTGCTTTATTTTGGTAGTATCCCTTAAAGAGACCGCCTCCCTTTATTTTCTTACATTTGTGTGCCTAGTTTCTTATATTTTATAATACTTGACACTGAATAAGCTTTAACCCTTCAGTCATTTCAGAATACGTTTGATGTTTGAAAGTGAGATTTGAATGGAACTTCATGAGAGAAGTAGTCTGTGTGAAGTGTTTTGTAAATGTGAGTGGGTAGAATTTTAAACTGAATAAAAGTAATGTAATGAGGAATCAAAGGTTCAATCCAGATGTTTGCCACCACGAATTCATAATAAAACGACAGTGCAGTTCTACACGTTGCCTTCCTTGTGGTCCTTGGGTAAAGTGGGCTGTGGCCTGTGGTTGACTAAGAACAAGTGGACGGTTGGATTCCTTCCATTCATTTTCTAAAGCACTAATCATTCCATGGGGCAGATGTAGTTGTGACCCACCCACCAATATAGAGGATTTTCCCCATCTCCCAACTACTCTAGAAATAATGTGAGGGATTTACAAGCAGGTTTTCAGTTAAAGAATTTACAAGTAATCCTCTTTAGTTATCATTAGTATTAGACCCTGAAACCTTTGCTTGCTTGTTAAGATGAAGTACTTGGATGTGGTGAGACTGTGATGTAGAGCTGCCAGCCTCACTAATTCCACTATGTAGTGTGTTTCGAATTAATAGAGAACACCTTAGCATTTATGTAGAGGCAATATAGCTTAACATAAGGGATTCTAATTCAGGTGTTTTTGGTTCAAGTCTGATCTCACCACTCAGTAGTTATCTGATCTCGCATATTTAATTTCTTGGTCCTACCCTCCCTTGCCTTTTTGTTCCCAGTAGACCGATGGGGATGATACCAACCTTTAACATGGGAATTGAATAGAATACTATATAAGGACAGTGCCTGGCATAGGCAGTCAGCAATAGCTATACCATCACTACTACTATATCTACTTAAAAATGTCTACCTACCTAGGGTTGGGTAGAGAAGTTGACTGCAAAGGGGCAGGAGGGAACTTTCAGGAGTGATTGAAATAGCCGATGTCTTGACTGGGGTGTTGATTAAAAGAGTGTATCCATTTGTCAGAACTCATCAAACTGAACCCTTAAGATCTGTGCATTTGATTGTATGTGCATTACATCTCAATAAAGTTAATTAAGAAAACTAACCTACCAATGTGTTAAGTATATATCTTTTTGGAGGTGGTAGCTGACATACCAGCCTAATTCTTCTTAATCTATTGATTCGTTTTCAGAGGCCTCTCTGCATATGAGCATATGTTCTTCATAACTCATGTTGGGTCATAGGAAACGGAAAGAAGGTGCTCTGATTCTTCAGGTTGTTGCCAGGACTGTGTGGCTTGTGCTGAGATGATATTTAATATGAAACCTACATATAACATTAGTTTTTACTAAAAAGCTTTTTAAAAACCAGATTAAAATGTTTCATTTGATCAAGTAGTGCCTGTTTGCATAATATATCCATCAAGTAAGCACAGTTCCTAAAAGGTCATAGTCATTTTGTATCCCTTTTCTTGCTTTCAGTAAATTCTTTGTATTTTTCATACTTAAGTGAGATATCTAACATGCTTTTAACATAGTACCAGGCATGTAGTAAATGCTAATATATACTAGGTGTTATTATTAAAATTGATAGATTGATATCTTTTTTGGAGGTCAGAAATCAACATTAAGTATATTTTAATGTCAATTCATCATAAAGATGCTGTGAAAAACAGGTGTTTTACTAAAGCTTCTCTCTTTGGCTAGAAGATGGCTGTCTTTATATCTTCACATGGTCTTTTTCTGTGTGTGCCTGTATTCTGAATATCCCTTCTTATAAAAACACTAGTCATGTTTGAAATAGGGCTCACTCATAAGACTTAATTTTACCTTATTACTACCTCTTTAAAGGCTCTATCTCCAAATAGTCATTTTCTGAGGTGGTAAGTGTTTAGGACTTCAACATATTAATTCTGGGGGGTTATAGTTCAGCCCACAACACATGGTATCTAATAAAAAGCTGTGTTGGTTCTTTCAAGATAGTTCAACAATAGAATATGAAACAAGTCAGATTTTGAGTCTTGTTTTATAACAGTTCAATTTTTATCTAAATGGTGTAGTTCCCTGCTGCAGTGAGAAACCCAAACATATCCATCATGTACATACACTCACACATACACACTCGTGTGCACACACGCACACACACCTTTTACACATAAGGCCAATTACAACTGAAGCAGAGTTAGGGCCATTCATTGTCTAAGCTGTGTTTAATCTATGACTGGATCCACTAAAAATCATGTCCTTCATTGATAGGGAGAGATAGCTATTCAGCAGGTTCGTAATCTTTCTGGCTTTTCAGTACTTTGGGTAATGGAGGTAGAAAGTTTGGCTCTCTGGAAAGAAACCACTTCTCTGATACCTTTATACCTAGTTCTGTCTTCTGAGCTCTTATTTGACTTTCCAGGTATCTCTGCAACAAAATAATTATACTAATCCCTTTACACATATTTTGTACATATTCAAACCATGAATTTATGGACCCAAATTTACTGAGTTGTCCCTTAACCCTTTGTTCCTTAAATCAGATCCTAGAGATAGTTTACTCAGAGGTACCTAAATTGCCCACTTCATGGTTTATTCTCCTTACCAGTTTGATGTTCATCTTGGCTCTTTGTGTTCATGCATCAGGATGCGATATTTTATCTAAAGAAAAAAATCTCAAAACTTATGTTGTGCAAAAATGGCTCTCAAATGCATTATGTGTGTTACTATCAGTTTGTGCTAATTTGCACAGCCTCTGAACAACTGGCAAAGTGGCTAGTGTTGATGTTGCAGCTGCTGCAGTGTTCCCAGTTGCTTTAGGAATTTTTACATTTTATTAGTGCAATGACAGAGTTTACAGTTATCCACAGTGTGTTAATTACAAACACTTATTATCTATTATAGTACCAGCTTTATTCTTGATCTTATATTTCTTTTAATAGAAATGTTGCAGCTTTTACATTTAATTATAATGGGGATTAAGCATCACTTATATCAGTTTTCACCTATGAGGAAAAACTTGGAACAAATCATAGTTGAGATGAGGTTATTAGATTTAAAATGCAATGCTAACAACACTGAGCCTCATTTCATATGACCGATCAGATGATTGACTGACTCATTCATCCCATGAATGTTTCTTGAGTGTCCTGTATGGGCCAGGCTCAGTTGTAGGTGCTTGGGATACAGCAGTGAACAAAATTCAAATATCCCTGTCAGCAAGCCTGCAATGGGAGATAGATATTATAATAGCCATAATAAGCAAGTACATTATATAGCATGTTATAAGGTTACAACTGCTCTGAACTTGGGGGTAATAAATACAGTGAGATAAAGGGGATGAGGAGCTTGGGTGAGGGATTGCATCTTGAATAGGGCACACCTCATTGAGACGGTGATATCTGAACAAACTTGATGGCAGTAAAGAAGTTAGTCATGTGGCTCCCTTGAGAATAAGCAGAGGGAACAGCCAGAGGAAAGGCCCCAAGGCAGGAGTGTACC